AAGCCCGGGACCGGCCCGTGCTATGGCCGGTGTCGGGTCAATTTCCAATTTTTTTTTCTGGTTTTTGGTACTTATTTATACACGTGTTGCATATTATAAACAAACTTCAAGAGTTCAAGTGCATTTATTTGAAATAGGAACTACATTTGAGAATTGAGAAAAATACATTTTGTAAAATTTATTAATTAATTTAAGAAGTGCTACATATAAAAAACGAACATATATTTATTTGAAATATGAACTACAAGTATACAAATTACAATTGAGAATTGAAGGGAAAATTAAAACATGAAATACATTTTATAATAAATTGTAAAATACTAATCAATCAGAATTTCCGGCATAGGTAGAGCCACACTCGGTTGTTGATTCATCCATAAAGTCTTTCGATATCATGATGTTAATTTCTTGAGTTCTACGTTGGGTCTTCAACCAATCGTGGTAGCAACAAGCGTTTCAAGAGAGTTTGCGCTCGATCTCGTTCTAGATTTCGTTAGTACGTTGCCGGCCAAACTAAATTCTTGTTCCACGGCAACTGTTGAAACCGGCATTGATAGCACTTGTTTAGCCATCTTTGCTAAAATCGGGAACATTCTTTCTTTTTCCTTCCACCACTTTAGAATGTCAAAGTCATCATTTTCTTCAAAATCAACGTCATATGTTAAATACAAAGCAATCTCATTAACTGAGCTTTGTTCAGTAGCGGGGGTTGTTTTAGTTTTTTTCATAAGACTGCCAAATGCAGATTTAAAATTGATTTTTTTTAGATGAAGATGTTCATGTCGAAGGGGGGGGGGGGGATTGCCATATTGTGCATGAAACTCATTAAATAAGGCATAAAATAATGTACTAACCTCGTTGTATTCTTGTTTCGGATCTATGAGGTTTTCATCAATACATTGAAAATTCACCAAAAAAGCACGATAATAGAACTTCAAACATTCTTCCAAAGAACAAAGTCTAAAACGAGGATCGAGAATAAATGCAATACCATAAATATGCGGAATATGTGCATGGCATAATATTTTAAAAACTTTTCCTTCATAAAATTACAAAAATAACTCACGTAAGCGGCATCCGAAAATTTATTAAAAGCACCGGTGAGATTAACAGCTTCACGAATAAATTGGTTTGAGGTAGGTTTATAAACATGACTAAAAGTTTTAGTTGCATTAAAAAAATATACCAAAACATTACAATTTTTTCACAAGTGTCGATGTCAGCCGAGTTTATAATATAATTATCGTTTTAAAAAAGCAGGAAAATGTTCTTTATATCTAAGAAGAACTTTAATTAACTTATAAGTACTATTCCAACGAATAGACAAATCTTTAGGAAAAGCAACATATTTCACACGTCTTTCGATCAAATAATTTTGCCATTGTAATTTAAGTTGACCACTATCCCAAATACGTCTATTCCCCACCTTCACAATCTGCATAGCATCTCCCAACGCTTTTAGACCGTCTTGCACACATAAATTTATAATATGGCATGCACAACGTTGATGAAAAAATCTACCCATCAAAGTATTAGAACCACACAATTCACGCAATCGAGGTATAGCAGTAGTATTATTAGTAGCATTATCAAAACCAATAGCAAACACTTTACCAATCAAATTATACTCAATTAAAATACGCTCAATCAAAATATAAATATTATCAGCGGTGCGATGATCATTAAATTCACGAAAAGCAAGAACACGTTTATGCATATTCCAATCATCATCAATATAATGTGCAGTCAGATCCAAATAATGTAAATTATGATAAGTATCCTCCCATATGTCAGAACAAATAGTAACACGCCCATCAAAGTTTGCAAAATAATTTTGTAACCTTGCCTTTTCCAAACCATATAGCCTTATAATTTCTTTCTTAACCGTTTTGCGACTATAACCTCTAAATTGAGGATTTAAACTACCTTGAACATAATCTCTTAAAGCAAGACTTTTTGAAAACAAATATGACAAATTTTCTTCAACAATTAAGTTAGACATACCACTCAAATTTTGTGCATCATTGTATGAGAAATTACCAAAAGGTTGATTATTTGCAAACCTCGATATTTGAGTTTGCTTCCCCTTTCCTTTGTCTAATTTTGCATACTCCACGATGTGTTTGGACCTAAGATGCCTCGGCGGATCCGTTTCTGCCAGAAATCCCCAAGCTATAATCTTTCTTGCACCACTTGCAAGTTGCGTACTAATTCCCGGTCTTCGTGTCCTTCCACTTATCAAAATTATTTTCCATTAGTTCAGATTTACTTTTTTCCTTACCGGCTTAGGATGATGCAGGCTCGTCCGCGTCGTGGCTTCCGCCACCCTCCTCTTTGGCCATCTCTGGTTCCATTTCCTCTGCATCTTCATCCTCGAGCTCTTCTTCGTCAATGGTCATCGCGAATTGTTGTTCTTGAAAAAAGCGGCTATTTTGTCGGGTCAATTCTTGTTGTAGTTGTTCGTCGGACATCGCATCCTCATCTCTCCTTTGGTAACCCGTTTCAAAATCATCTCGGTTTTGAGATGAAGAGCCGATATGTGCTTTACATTTGCAAGAATTCTTCCTCCCAATCTGGTTCCTTCGGTTGCGGTGGAGGTTACCCATATCAACCAAATAGCTACCACCTTCCATCTTAAAAATGTAACAAATATTACATTGCAACAAATATATGAATGAGTACAAAAGTAATGCAATTAATTAAAACTATTTTAATTAATGAAAACTACTTTAATAAAATGTGAAGTACTTTAATTAAGTAATAAATTAAAGTGTGACTCTAAAAAGTGACTTAAATTGGAACTAATCAATACAATTTTTAATAAATACTTAAAACTAACAAGTGTGACTTTAACTAAAATGTGATTATTATTATTAAAATGTGAGTAATTGAATTATAGCAACTTTCCAAGTACTTTAATTTAGTGAAAACTACTTTAATAAAATGTTAAGTACTTTAATAAAATTAATTGAACTACTTTTTTTTCTTCAAATAAAAATTCAAACTATTATAGTGTGACTTTAACTATAATGACAATTAACTAGTTTTTTAAAGTAGAGACAAAGGTAGCAATTAATAAAAAAAAAGTGTAATGAACTAATTAACTACTTTATTGAAAAACGTAACAATTAATGGGAATACTAATTAACTAATCAAGTAATTTTATTACAAAATGTAACTAATAAGACAAATGTATTATGTATGAATGTGTATACTAATTAATGGGAGTAGTAGAATGGATTTAACTAATATTAATTAAAGTGTAACTAATATATAATATATTGTGTAAGTATATATATATATACTTAATATACTAATTAGATGTAATAAAAGTAATATATTAGTAAAAATTGAATATATATATATATATATATATATACTTTATATATATATATATGTATATATATATACTTAATATAGTAATAAATATAGTTCGAATTAATTAGATATAATTCCAACTATATTAGTAGATATAACAATTGTATAACTAAAATATAATATAATGTTTATAGTATATAATATATAAGTATACTACCATAAGATGAGTAATACACTTATATTTAATACTTTAATATATAAAGTATATATTAAGTAGATGTAGTATGTACGAATTAAGTAGATATAAGTAGATAATAAGTAGAGATTAAGTAGATAAAAAATATAAGTAATATAATATATGTATTTATAAGTAGATAATTAATATATAAGTAGATAAGAAATATAAGTAATATAATATATGTATTTATAAGTAGATAATTAATACTACGTATATAAGTAGACATAATAATTGTATAAGTATTAAATAGTAAAATATAATGGAGAATAAGAGATTTTGAGAAGATGAAGATGGAAATGATTAGAGAGTAGAGAGTAGGAATTAGGAAGTGTTAAAGAAGAGATGTGGAAAAATGTTCAAAATTAGGAGTATTTATAGTTTTTTTAACACCCACCCCCACCCTCCACCCTCCCCCCAAAAGCCCGGGACCCCCTTGCCACCCACCCAACGGCTATATAGCCGTTTGGGAGCACAGCCCAACGGCTAGGGCTGTGTTTGGGCTGAATTTAAAAAAAAATAAAATAAAAAGTGACCGTTGGACCCAGACCCGGGCCCGACCCGGCCGGGCCGGGTCACCATTTTCCCTACCCGAGCCCGGCCCCGCATAACCCCCCGGTTCGGGTCAACACCTGGTACCGGACCGACGGACCGGGCCGGTCCTTGGCCCGCACAGTAGTGGGCCAGGCGGCCCGAACTGACTCCATGACTAATTTATTGTAAGAAATGCTCATTTTTAACCGTCATGTAACTCAAAATTAATTACTCAACATAAACAAAATAAAATTAAATACAGAGAAGTGTGATAAGAATAAAATGTATAGTGTAAATGACACATATAATTCTCCATCGCCGCTGTTACCTCTCAAGAGTCAAGGCCATCCCAAACACAAGGTGTAGGATTCTGGACATTTTTGCCTCGTAAAACACAATTTTCAAATTACAAGTACTAAGAAGAAAAATTTAGAAACTAAAAGAATGAAAAGGAGAACAGAAATTTAGGTAAGTAAATGAAGCAATAACCTACCCAATTCTGCATGGGGCGACTTAAAGTGAGATACCAATCAATAAAAATAAAATAGTGTGGTTCACATGAATTCCTTCACTTATTTAGAACCTGTTTGGTAGCGTGAAAATCTGTTGTTTTGGTTGATTCTGCTAAAATTTATGAAGTTCTGACTGAAGTGGCTGCATTGACTGATTTTGCTGATTTTAAGAAAAAATCATTTTTAAAATATATGTTATTAATAAAATAAAGAAAAATTATATGTAAAAATAGTTAAAATGGTCAGAAAAGTAACTCCAACCTTACTTTTTCTGCTTATTACACAATTCAGCGCGCGGAAGCAAAAATTACGTGTTTGGTGAAAAAGTTGACTGATAAGCCTGATAAGCCGAGAAACAATGTTGCGCCTCTTAATGAGACATCAAACCAGTACCGAGTCAAATCTGCAAGTGATCAATTCTATATATAATAATATAAATCATCTGTGCGTGGAGCCATGTATCACTATCTTACTTTCTTACACAAACAAAATTAGATACTTGGTATACAACACAGTGGTTAAGATTGAAAAAATCATCGAAGTTTCAAAGCAAGGCGAAGTGTTGTTGATAATAACAATAACACTACCAATGAGTAAATCAAATCTTCTGTATGCATTTTATATTCCACCGTACATTAGTGAGTGAGAACCAGTCTACACACCGCTCCATTTACCCCAAAATGTAACTCAAACAATATCTATACCACACCCAAGCAACTCCACCTTTCATATGTGCTCTCTCTCAACTCTCTCACTCTCTCGTCACAGCAGGCTAGTGCTCCCGAATGGGTTGGCATTCTGAGGGTTTGTGGGGGGGAATGCTCCGAAACCACTAGCATCGCCGAAAGGATTGTGTTGCACCCCCACCAATGGATTTTGAGGTGTCTGATGCTGCATGGCCTGTGTTGGGTATGCTGCTGGTTGGAAAGGACCAAAAGGATTTGGCATTGCAGGAGCAGTGGTTTGAAGAACTGATGGAGGAGGAAGAGGTGCAGCAATTGTGGTGTTGGGCATAGCGAATGGATCAGCTACCTCAAATGGGTTGGGGGCAGGAGCTCCATATACCGGTTGCTGTGATGCTCTGAAAGCGCCCTCGTCATACAAACTATTGAGGGTGAGAGAATCCAACCCACCAGCCTGCATCCACAAGAAACCAACACATATGTGGATTTTTACAGCCTAAAAGGGCGTGTTATAAATAGAGCAGAAGAATGGGAAATTACAATGAAGCATAAAGAGATTTACCAATTGCCTCTCTTGAGCGGTAGACAAGTTGCTGCTAGGGGCAGTGACTAAAGCAAGTTCCCATCCCGTAGAATCAAAATCTTTAGGTTGTGTTCTTTCCGAGTCAAATGGCGTTGTGTCTACATGTTAAATACGATAATATACTTTATTCAACCAACAAATAAAGTTTTAAAAGCAAATACTCCATAAGACCTAACTTCAGACTGTCGTCCCTTCGCAGAACTTTAAAATCGTACCTCAACTCAAAGTCTCAAATACGAAGTACGACTTTTCATAAAACAGAACTAGCTAGTCTTTATTCTAGATGCCCTACAGTGTTCTCATTTACAAGGGAAGAATTATGTGGTTTATATTGATTCTACCACTTTAAAGAAGACAAGAAAGATGAAAAATAAAAAGAAAATAAAAAAGATTAAATGAGATGAATCCTCAAGATTAAATGAGATGAATCCTCTACACTTCGCTCTCTCCGAATTCATGCTCTCATCCAACCCAAGAAAACCATAATGACTCTTCTAATCCACATCCGTTTGGGTCTTCTCCCCACCTCTCAACTCGTCTAACATTTGCATCACCTGATCTTCAACGCATAATTGATTTTTTCAATCAATTATGTAAAATTGTATTGAGGAGCAATTTCTTCAATAGATATGGAACTCGCAATGCAATGTGCCTATAGTATCAAGGGACCTCGACATGTAAAAAGTATTAGGAAAGACCATTATGGAAAGGATGGAGTAATTATTTTGACTTAGTTTGGCTCCGATACTATGGTAGAATAAAATTCAAAATACTTTCGTCATGGGAATCAAGAGAATAGCAGATTCTCCAAGTAGGTTATATAATGTGTTATTAGTTTATGCTAGCATAAGCATAACCGTATAACTAATTAACATATTTCCACCATTATGACTAATACAGAATGCCATGAAAAGTTAAAACAAGTTAACTTTTACATCAAAAGAATTAGAGGATATATATGTCCGGCCTAAAAAAAAATATGGGCACATATCTGGGACACCGACCATGATTCAAAGTTAGAAACTTTTAGGATATAAATGTGTGTGGGTATCATGCGGGAGGGCCAATAGGTACCTAAAAAGTACTTATTTGTAGAGATGGAAGCTTAACCACTAGATGTCAGATCAAACAGTCATGATCATTCTAAGGTTCATTCAATATCAGCACTGAAGATCAAACGTATTTAATTCTTAGTTATAAAAATTGATAGGTGGTACCCAATGAAAACATTTATTCTCCAACCCCACACACATATGTATGTGTATAATATAATATCTTTGTAGCAGCAGTGCTATTAAAAATGAGAATTAGATATAATACCAGATGAAACTATGGCTAAAGCCAAAGCATTACTTTCTTCCATCGCAGATACATCTGCTGTGGGAGAATTTAGTCCCTGAAAATGTACAATGTACAGTGAAAAAATGAATACTAGGAAAAGCATGTATGAGTGCATGCGCGCATTTATCAAAAGAAAGGACATGATACTAACAAGTAGATCATCAGTTTCATATCTGCTAGGAGGAGGCACTGAAGCAGGAACCTCTGTGGTCAACCCTTCAACATCCTCAGCTGGCGGCGGGGGTTGGGTTGGAACTTCATCAGCATATTCCTTACGTTCTTCAGATGGTGATGGCTCATCTTCTTGTTTATATGTCAGCATAAGCCTCTCCGGGTATTCCTGTGTTAACACACAAAATTTTCAGCATACTTCTGATATACTACTATAAGCTTTAAGAAAAATTATAGTAATGTAAGATTAATCTAGAGTCTAGACCACATAAAATCATAAATAGTGTATTAATGAAGAAAGAAAGCACTTGTGTTTAAGACGAAAAGAATACCAAAGTATCTCTAGGAACTGATACTATCCGTGGGGCTTCCCTTATATACTCTTCCATTGTCACCAGGAATGATTGTGGAGGCTGGAAAAATAAAACAGATGTCATGTGTATTAAAATTAAAAATAAAGGGATAAAATTTCAAGACAAATTCCATCTTGTCTCAATACCTCTCTGAGTATAGGAAATTGGAAATTCCTAGCAAGTTCCAATCCTTTGCAAACTTCATAAAAATCAGAGAGGCTTGCAGCCTGCACAACATAAAACAAAAATAAAAAGCTTTGGGATGACTGATCAAGATATACAACAATGTAGTATATTATTAAGTATTAAGGCTATACAGTAGTTAATAATACAATACTGTGACCTGCTGACCAGCTCTTTTATAGATATCAAGGGCTTTGATAGCTTCATGTCTTGGCATCTCAAAAAACTGAAATCGAAGTCATCAGAAAGTAATGTCAAATGGACAATAGGAGACTATTTTACGCTCAAGTTGTAATCCTGTGGATTCAGTTTAATGCACCTTGTCAACAAGATTAATAATTCCATCATTGATAGCACAGTAAATTTTAAAGCTCTCCTTCAGAACCTGAAACGTGATATAACTATAAGCAACTGTGACACTGACATTTACGAGACGATACATCTCCAAATCAGGTTTGAATATAAGCAACAGAATTTGAATATAATCAGAACTCAGAAGGGTCTCACTGCATGCAGACAGAAGGCACACCTATGTGACTTTCAAAATTAAAATATCAGTAATAGGAGGTTCAATATTTTACAGTCCAAGTTGCACTTATTAGTTGTGCCTATTACTCCATCCAGAAAACATTTTGCTCAGATATTAAAATCACTAAGGAATTTCCTTCATTGGAACACATCATTTAATATTTCCATCATTTTTAATGGAATAAAGCAAAATGGCTCACTAAACTGTCTGCGCTTCTTTATTATGAAGCGGTAGTCGGTGCATTCAATTTTCGACGCGAATTTCACAATGGGTCATCCGGAAACAGTCTCTCGGTGCTTTAGTACAGGGGTAAGACTGCATACATCCGACCCCCCTTACCCCATCGTAGATGGGAGCCTTTGCGGCACTTGGGTAGTGATGATGGTGATGATGATGGAACATATCATTTAATGATTTAGCTAACATATTTATAACTAGAAAACTACTTTGCAGTCAACATTAAAATTAGTGACAAGTTCACAACTTACCAAGGCTAGTGCATACTGTATCACATAATTTGGAAAAGCTGCCCCTTCAGGCTGTATTAAAAACAACGAAACAAAAACAATATAACAATATAAAGAACTTTGAAGCCCCTAATAATGAATTGTTGAGAGTGGAAATTGGCAATTAAGCAGTCTTGTTATATTAAGGATTTAAGCCTTAGCCTTGTGGAATTACCCGGCATCCAATAAGTCGATACAGCAACTGCTGCAAAGCGGGCAATTGCTCTAAAAGAACTTCACTGTCTAATTCTCTAGTTCTGCTGTATCCCTGACAGTCAAATGATACAAAAATAAAAACTATCATGTTTAGCCAAAAGAAGTCTGCAGAGCAAATCCGAATTCAAACTCAATCCAAATTCTCCGGCAATATACACTGGTCTCTGAGGTTATCACATTAATATTTTGTTCAAGTTTAAGCATTTCAAAAGCATACCTATAATAACAACAATAATGCATCAGTTATTTACAAAACCAAGGTAACTCAGTGTTCTAAATCCGGTTGACTGAACACTTTCAACAAAGGATGATGTTGGGTTGGGGAAAAAATCCTTTTTGGAAAATTACTCTTGAGATTTGCGGTGGAAAGCGCTTATGGGAGTTATGTATATATTTGGCAATCGACATTGAGGTTGAAAAGTGCATTGGAAAATTTAAATGTCTAAAGAAAAAGAAGTATTGGAACCTCAAGTGTTATTCTAGACACACAAAATTAATCTTGAACCGTCTTTTGTGCCACGGTGGCTATTAGACTTTCAAGTAAGCTTTTCGCAAAAATTATAAAGGAGTATTTGTTTGGGATTGTGTTAGGACGCAAAGGTCTTATTGGTGCCTTACCTCGTTACTTGAACCAAGTCGGTTTGCTATGCATATTTACAACTCACATTTCGATTCAATCAATTACATTATAAATCAATCATTGACCATTGCACTCCCATACCTTTTAATTCTTCTTTTATTTGTGTGTAGGTGGATAGAGGTGGGGGTAGGACTATAGATTTTTTCATAACTAATTTTTTCCTACCCACTTACCCAGTGTCATTAATAAACTCTGATCTAATCCTTTATCTCCTAATAGTGTTACGGATCATCCAATTTCCTCTATTCTTCTCTACAAAGAAACAAGCAATAAATAGAAGAAAAATAGAGAATCAGTTAGAGTTGAAGACACTCCAACATTTCTAGATACTTAATATTCTCATATAAAAAATGGGACTTTGAAAAGGACATGTATAGATACAGTTTGTCCATAATGATAAGAAACTGCAGTAAGGCTTTAACCCCTAAACTGTGGGGTTAGCATTAATAAAACTGTTCAAAAAACCCTTGGTAACCCAGATATGGATAATATGTTAAATAAGATGCAAAAAAAAAAAAAACTCAATAATAATCAAAACTTTGCTCCCCTCACATTAACAGTAAGAGTCTCAATGCATTATGCATGCCTTATATAGTTATGCTCTAGAAAATGAAAAACTATAGGATAAATGAAACCTTGATCATGATTGGTTGAAAATTGTAAAACAAACAAGGATCGCATATTCATTCCAGTTATAGAATTATTAGGAGGCACCTTACCTTCTCTTGCCCCTGAGCAGGTCTAGGAAGTCTCTCAGCTTCAATATCATACTTAAGAACCCGAAAGCATTCAAGCCGTTCTTCCAAAAAGAGTGCATATGTGCGTACCCATGCAGAGCAATCCCAAGCTGAGTAAAACAAGAAATAGGTTTGATCACAACTTAACTTATATTATAAGACAATTAAAAGCAGATCCGCTTCTGCCAATGAAAACAGGAAGGAAGACTAGAAATGTATAGCAGTATTTCTACTGACCGATAGGGCTTGAATCATCCTTAAAATTAGACATTTGAAGAACACGGCCTCTCTGCTGAAAATTTACAAGTTCTTCACGAAATGTAGGATCACCTTCCCTCAATGTTCTATGGATTACTATGAGTGTTTTTAGCGCCACCTATAGGGATGAACAACATTATAAATATATCATTTAAATTAACTTGAAAATGATAAACCTGACTAGGGATAGGAAGGTGAAATACATTTCACTGTGATAATTACAGACCATTTTTCATCAATTCTCCTTTATCTAATTATATGCATTAAATGGGATGAATGATAATTGTCTCAATTATCAGCGTAATTGTTTTGCCAAGCCACCAAGATTTGACACATGTTTGGTCCCATGATGCAAATAATCAAACCTAGTATAGTTCATCAAAATTATAGAAAGAAGTTATAGAAAGCGATTAAGTGACTGGCTAATATATTAGTGTCAAGTACCAATACTTGACACATGGAATACGATGCTTTTATACTTCTTCCAAAAAGGGAAACAACGGAAACAAGCATGCAACCACAAACTGTTTTTCACATGTTGCACATATCTAAAAAATATGTTCAAATAATTGACTTGTATATCCTTTGAATAAATATATGCGAACTTATGGGAAGAAGGTACAGTAGCGATGGGTGATCTGCATCATGAATATAGAATGTACACTCATAATGTCCCTATAAGCGTTACTCTTACTTACCGGCACGTCACTCAACTCATCTCAAAAGAAACCACAACAGAGAATGCTAAAATAACCTGATCACAAACTTAGTTTAATGACACGGATAGGGATCCAGTAGAAATACTGCTTCACGAAGGTTGGCACAATAGGTTCCAGTAACTACGCTCATCAGGGTGCCAATTTGCAGAGGTGAGGCGCTGTGCCTCTTAAACCTCTTGGAATGGGGAGTTTCAAAACATTATCGCGTCTTTTTATTATTGAAAAATAACTTTAAATTATAGCGAGAATCACTAGTCAGTCAAAAATAATACATACTACTCCCGCCGTATTTTTTGGTTTGCTACACTTTCCTTTTTTGAATGTATTAAAAAATTTGCTACAGTTTCCCTTTTTGGTAAGTTTTTCCTTTAAAATTACTCAATTACCCTTACTTTTTCTACTTTTTATCTTCTCTTTCATACTTTTCCATCATCTCTCATACTTTTTCTACACTATTCATTACCCCTACTATTTCACTCTTAAAAAATGTGCCAATACCTATTCTAGCAAACAAAAAAATACCGAGGGAGTATACAATAACTATTTTATTCCCTAACTATTCATATATATCATCATCATTACCCCAGTGCCGCAAAGGCTCCCACCTACGATGGGGTAAGGGGGTCGGAAGTACCATCAAATATATATATATATACACACACACACACAACAAAAATGATACAGAGTCCGTTTTGACCTCAAATCCGGTCATTCAAATCATCAAAAACATGTACCATCAAATAAAGCTTGTTTGATGGTCATATGCCATTTTTGATAGGCTAAATGACAGAGTTTGAGGTCATAAAGTGACTTCGTATCATTTTGTCTTATATTTGAATAGTTGGGGTACAAAATAGTTATTTCTATAGCACTCCCTACATTCAAAATTAGCTGTCCCTGTAGGGGTTCTACGAAGTTTAAGATGGTGTCTCTAGGTGTAGGAAAAAAGCATCTTTTTAGGGATTTGTTTTTGCTTATTAGGTACTGTACTTTTTTATGTGACAAAATTCAAAAAGTGAATTGAGACAAGTAACTTGGAACAGTCCAAAAGGAAAGTGGGACAAGTGATATGGAACGTAGGGTGTTGTATCGTTTTTGGTTGAAAAATGATGGTTGGTATTATTTACAGTTATTTTACCTTTTATTTAAATGCAACTAGGCTTGGAAAGCCGAAAAAATCATCTACTTCTTCCTAGAATCAGAAAACACAAGTCACACCCTTCCTCATCTTGAGATCAGGTTTCTCCTCCTATTCACCATCTTATTCTCTCTTTAGGTTTTCCCATGGTCTCCTGTCTTCATTCTGTGTAATAAAGTTTAATAGAGTAATAGACTAATGCTACTGCTTTCTTCTCCATTCAACTTGCAGATAGAAAACTATTACTACTGCTTTTTCATACTCCGTATTTAATTTGGTTGCTTATGGTAGTATTGATTAGAGTACAAGATAAGATTTTGGTACTTTACTGTTTGAGTACAAGATTTTAGTATTGAATTTTGTTGTTTGTAGTACTATAGTGTTTGAGTACAAAAAAGCATTTTAGTTCAACACAGCTTCTAAAATGCAGTTCATACCGTCCAGTTATGTGTCTTTGCTAACCTCCTAGCAAGGGCATGTAGGCAATACGCAACATCAGCCCTAGGCCGCATCGCAGATGTATAAACCATGAGTTCTGCAAAAAGCAACAAAATGGAATAGCCCAACTTTAGCTTTTAGCCATTCTTAATAACGAAAGAGTGCAGCCAAACCCAATTGCAAACATTTCCTAAAAACAACTGATTCAACAAAATGCATTTCCACTTTCACATAATTCCATCAGATTTAATCAGAGCTGATGCCCAGAGTTGAATAGAAAGTACGAACAAGCTCTACTACAACACAAACCATGGCATAAGGTCTTATGCTGGAAAAAAGAAAATGCTAAACTTCATCATGTTTTGTTCAAGTTCAGAAAGGAAAGGGGGAATCGCAGACACAAAGTTGGTGTACAGCAGATAGATCTACGGAGGAGTGAAGAACACTCACTTCTAATGTGCCTTTCTTTGGGTGGACACTCAACGTGATTAGTAGCCTTGACGATCGCCACATCCACATCCTATGAAATGAAAAATCGGTCATCAAAGATGGACGACATTAAGAACAATTCATTCCAGACTATAACATCATCAATCACAGAACCAAGAGCAACCAAGGCTCAAACATATGTTGACATAACCGGAGAAAGACCTTGAAATCGCTGTTGACATGGGCAAGGCCGACTTTGGTGTGATCTTTGAGAGCCCCGTAAGCTTTCCTCCAGGATTGTAGCGTTCCCATCTGTCTGTCTCTGTGTAACGCTGCTTCCGAGCCCTGCGTGTTTCTCTCTCTAGAAGATTTCTTGATGCCTGAAATGTTCGCCAGTGAGGCAGGGGAGAAAGAGAGAGGAAGCAAACCACCTTTTTGGAAATTTAGGAGAAAAATCCTTCAATCGGTTGGACCGGCCGGGGTGGCCTTTGGCGGCCCCTCCAACTGGATGCCTCGTCATTTTGCTCGTGTATTTTCACTATTCAATGCAAGAGAAATGTTATGGGTACCCAAAATGGGTACCCATTCTTACCCCGGCCTATTGTGCGGCCATAAACCACACAACACATTTAAGTAGGTAACATTTAAATGTGTTGCCTCGCTTATGGCCGCACAATAGATCGGGGTAAGAATGAGTACCCCATTTTGGGATACCAATAGCATTTCTGTCAATGCAATTCCTTATGGGAGAGAGCTTTTCTAGAAGTTGTAACTGTACACGTTTGTATATACGTTTGCGACAATTCTTCTTGTCTTGACAACCACGTGTAAACAGTTAAAACTTTACGAGAAAATATGGTGTTTCTTATCAACTACTAGTCTTCTATTGTCGTATATAAACAAATACTCTGTATATGAGTGTGAGCCATGCTCTAAAAGGCGTGAGGTGTCGCAAGGCATCGATGTCAAACCTCAAGCCTTTAAAGTCTCTGTGGCAATAGGCGGAGCCTAGGCATGAAAATGCGTTTTAGATTTCTATTGATAATTATTACTACCTTTGTCCCGCTGAGATTGTATCACTTTACCATTTCGATCTGTCTCACTAGGATTGTCTCATGTCATTTCATTTTCATTTTCATTTACCCCAGTGCCGCAAAAGCTCCCACCTACGGTGGGGTAAGGGGGGGTCGGATGTACGCAGTCTTGCCCCTATACTAAAGCACAGAGAGACTGTTTCCGGATGACCCATATTGAAAATTGCGTCCAAAATTGCATGGACCGACCGCTGCTTCATATTAGACAAAATTCGTGTTGCTCCAAATTATTCTTACTTTATTATTACTTTATCAATTCAATATATATTAACCACGTGACTCACTTTTTATTAGTTTGTGTGTAACTCCCTCTTTTCCTATTGTTAGTGGGATGGAGGGAGTATTATATAGTGATATGAAGAAGAAGAAAATAAATGTTCATAATATATTATACAAGATTGAGCGTAATTTCTACTTTGTTTAATATATACAGAGTATAATTCTAAAATGTATAAGAAGCACATGATCAAAGAAAATGTATAAGAAGTAAAATACAAAATGATACTCCGTATATTGTTGTTTTTTACTACTCTGTGTTAGATTTCATATATAACATGTTAATAAAAGTATTTTTATTTTTAAATTTAATCAATTTTTTCTTTACAAAAAATATTTCATCTAATAAAACTTCCGCCTATTCACGCCTAAGCATGCATAGGCTTACGCCTTTTCAGGCCTTTGGTGGTCAACTCTTGAGTTGACCGCCTTTTCCACGCCTTTCTTCAATGCGAGACGTTTCTCCGTCACCTCACGCTTAGGCGCGCTTAGGCCCCGCCCTTTGCCGCCTTTTAGAACATTGAGAATGAGGTATATTTATAGGAAACCTTGGTTAAAATGAGTATTATGGTCTCTTTTCAAACACCGAAGTTGACTAAATCTGTTGAGTTCATGAAATTCTTACTGAAGTGAGTGAAATGCTTGAATCTACTACATTATGGAAACATTATAATTAAATATACATGTACTTTACTAATAAAGATATTTTCTTTTGGATTGTTCTCAGTCCCAGACTATAACGGATCAGACTTGGACAGTTATAAAATACACAAAGATCAGACATTTACCAGACTAAACTAGACTCATTCAGATTGAATCAGACCAGACTTAGACGGACCAAATCAGACCAGACCAGTAAATTTCAGTCAAAAAGAAAACATCCTAAAATGAAGAAAGAATTGTATGAAAAATTGGCTAAAAAGGTTCATTATAGTAACTTCAATCAATTTAATTAGCAAAGTAATTATTATATGTGTTTGATAAGAAATTGATTTATAAGAGTAACCAAACCACCCTTAAACATTTTATATTTGAAGTCAATCAATAACATAATACAATTACACGTTAGAACAAATATAATAAATGACATATTATTGGAAGGATCTGTTTAATAATAGTCAAAGGTTATTAGAATATTTGATTTGTTAGAGGCTCAAGAGCTAGGGTCGATTGAGAATCACAGCTAATAACTACGTATCTACGTACTAGTGTACTAGTAGTATTTATTACTCCCTCCGTCCCCTTAAGTTTGTCCCGTTTTACCTTTTTCGTCCGTCCCACTAAGTTTGTCCCGTACCATATTTGGTAACATTTGAGTGGTTAGAATTCATTCTTACTTTATTTACACTTTATGAATTCAATACCAACCACACAATTCCACTTTTTCTTAAAAACCACACCACACCCCTTCGTCCCAAACTTAGGGGGACGGAGGGAGTACAAAATAAGTGACACCATAAATGCTAGCTAATCCGTTACCAATTAAAACGACAAAACGATGTTCAAAGTCATAACGACTTCTAGCCAGCGATTATGATGTGGAAAAAGTCGTGTAATTATATTTACTAAATGCTCTTTGCCATTATGAGAAAAAAAAAAGAATTTAGTTGTCAGTGCTATGTTGATAAACAAAATCCAATTGACGAAGTGATTAGTTTGGGGATACTACCTTAAAGTAAAATTCTCTAGTCTAGTTTTCTTAAAGTTTGGTCTAAAACGAATAAGACTTTATAGTGTTTTACTATTGTTTAAGTCAGATCTCATTTGTTGCGTGTAAGGATGTTGTCTGACTGTTTTCAGTTTCAGACCAGACCAGATCAAACTAGACCAGACTAGTTCAAGCCAGATCAGACCAGACTAGACTTCCATAGTTATAAAATATACATAGACCAGACATTTACCAGACCAGACCAATTCAAACCAGACCAGACTAAATCAGGCCAGACCACACCATATCAACAAATTTCAATCCAAAAGAAAACATCCTTAGTGTGCTTTGACTTGTTTAGATATGTAGTTGTTGGGTGTGCTTCGGAAAATAAGAAAAATTAATTAAAATGACGAAAGAAAAACAAGAAAGGAGATGGAGCAGAATTTAGCCAAAGCTCGTGCTACGCACGATGTCCTTAAAACGTATTTGTTGCCTCCCACGGTGCTAGGAGCATTGCAACAATAGTTTCTTAGGATACGATGACTACGAACTAATGTTTGAGCACATAAACAAAAGTTCCAGCGAACGAGAACAAAGTCTGAACACAGAAGGAAATTTTCAGAGGTAGCTGGATGTGTTTTTAGCTGAAGAAATATGTGAGGAATGTGTATGAACTCATGTACGATCGTCTAAAAACGTGTGTTGTTACAAACCACCTGTCAGCCATTATATAGGAAGATTTGTTGTGTGTAAATGGTGAATAATGGATCTGAATGTTGGATATCAATGACCAGTGCGTTGGGCATTGAATCATCCATGCACTGTCCATTTAATGCTGCTTCAAAAGATAAGAACGTTGGACATTAATTGTTGTAACGGTTCAGATGCGCGACAGAAGACCCCCACCAGAACACCCTGTGAGGGGTTCTGTTCCGAGGTCAATAGAAGACCCCATGAGGGGTTCTGTTCCATAGGCTTCTGTCTGAGCACTTCTGCCGTTGGGAAAAAATTAAACGTTTCAGGAAGAAAATAAAAATTAAACCGTGCCTCTTAGAGATAGATTTTTGGATGACATTCATGTTCGCAAGCTGCCGATTTGCATCCCCGCGCGTGTGGAGAGAGCCTTTACTATAAAGAATCTTAACTCCTTAAAGGAGGCTTCCCTTTATAAGGGGTTGCAAATCTCGTGGGTTTTCCGGTGTGGGAAATTAACACACTAGAAACTCATCTTTTTTCCCAGTTTTTCCATTCTAACGGGTAAACTTCGAGAATCAATTTCTCATTCACCCGTTATCCGTTTTGAGCATACCATATATCGAATTGTAGCCCTAAGCAAGGACAATCCGAAACCACTTTGACCCGACCCAAATCGGAAGTGGAACCCACTCAAAAAATTGCCCCAAGATTACCATTTAATGCAATTTTAATAAATTTTTCCAAGAGTAGTTATGTTTACATGTCGGATGTAAAATGATGCCTTGATTGCCACCTATGTTGTAACTTACTTATGATGTCTTGTTTTGATTATAATGACTTTATGAGACTTATGTGTGTGTGAAAAATTGAGTGTAACTAAAAACTCGTTTGGTAGCACGGAAATCGGCTGATTTAATTGATTCTGCTGATTTAAGAAAGAATTATTTTTAAAATATATTTTATTAAAAAAATAAAGAAAAAGTTTAATGTAAAAATAGCTAAAATGATCATCTACAGTAACATCAGCCAATACAGCCAGAAAAGTAACTATAACCTTACTTTTTCTGTTTATTACACAATTCAGCGCGTGAAAGCAAAAATTACGTGTTTAGTGAAAAAAGGTGGTTGATAAGCTGAAAATTTACTTCTAAAATTCACACATGTGAAGAGCAACTGTGATGTTTGTGTTGCTTGTGATGACAAAGCACTTGTGTTAGACTTATGTGAAGTCCGGATGTGATGAATGTCATTTAATTGTGTGCATCATCAGTAGGATGATGCACACCATTGGTCCCTGGACTATTATGTAAGTGATTTGTCACGAACTTATGTGAAGTCTCACTGTGATGAATGTGATTAACTTATGTGCATTAGTCGCCGTGGATGACCATTGCTTAGCAGACTGAAGCGAAGTTCTAGTGGGATGAATATGAATTACTTATTCATTATCAATCTGTGATGAAAAATAACTTGTTGGAGACTTCTTTAGTGATCCATGGGGACACTATACACGATTGAGACAGATTATTAATCATTAATATATGGGCCTTTCAAATGTATTTTCTTCGACAATAATGATACATTTAGCCAGTGTTTGTCATTGCTTAATTTAAGTACTTATTGACTTTTGGCTTTCAAAAAGTCAAAAGTAGCGTTTGCAAATGAAAAAGTCACATCCTGCCTACTATAACCGGTTTCCAGCATCAAAGAACCACCCTTCCGCTTTCATCAATTATCAATGGAATCTAGTACCACCAGTAGTGGCCAAGCTGTTATGCCGCCATTCTGTTCTGCCGCCGCTATGTTCTGCTGC